TACATATTTTATTAGATGTTACTACAATAAAAAGTGTGGGAGAGCCATGTTTCGACATTTCGGAGTCCCGAAGTTATAGAAGACAGCTTTGGTCCACCCGATCCCTAAAAAAGGTGATCGCATAAAATCCGTCCAATTACAGACCGATAGCCATAACTGACCTCTTCTCGAAAATAACGGAGTCATCTATTAACTGCCAGCTCCTTCGGTACTTGGAGGATCATCAGCTTCTTAGTGACCGACAGTACGGTTTTCGTAAGGGCCGGTCCACTGGTGATCTCCTAGTTTATCTGACACACCGTTGGGTTACACACGTGATCGACTCCAAGGGGGATGGCAGTAAGTTTGGACGTAGCGAAGGCCTTCGATCGGGTTTGGCATAAAGGGCTTCTTACGAAGCTACCTTCCTATGGGCTTCCTGAGAAACTGTGTAAATGGGTATCAAGCTTCCTTGCAGACAGAAGCATATAGGTCGCGGTCGACGGCGAATGCTCTGATTGCTTGCCTGTGAAAGCTGGCGGGCCTCAAGGCTGCGTACTATCGCCCACTCTGTTCCTCCTCCATATCAATGATATGTTTCAAATTAGTGACATTCATTGTTATGTGGATGACAGCATGGGCAATGCTTTTTACGCCGGCCGTGCTAACATTTCTCGGGAAAACGTCATAAAGAGTAAAAACAGGCTTGTCTGAAATCGAGACTTCTTTAAAAAGAATCTCAGATTGGGGTAGACTTAACTTAGACCAATTTAACTCCACAAACACACAGGCAGTGTACCTACCATGAGCACCAGGCATGAGCACCTGTGTCTGTGTGTGTTCACAGCAATCACAGCTAAAAAACTGCCGTTGGTCGTATCTTCTCAATTTCAGAGCACCCCTCTCACAGCCTCGGCCGGTATTGGGATACTTGGCGTCGACATATCGAGCGAAGTCCAGTTCCGCGGAGAGTAAGGCCAAGTTAGCCTCGAGGAAGCTTGGTGTGCTCAATAGATCGCGGCAGTTTTACTCCGGGGTATCGATAGCGATAGGTAACGACGATTGCTACTTTACAAGGCGCAAGTTCGGCCCCATATGGAATACTGTTCTCATCTTTGGGCACCCCAGTTCCAGCTTCTCCCTCTGGACCGCATTCAACGACGAGCTGTCCGAATTATTGACTGCCCTGTTGTCTCGGACCGGCTGGACTCTTTGGCACTGCAGGGGATGTAGCCTTGCTATGTATTCTCTATCGCATTAATATCACGGGGACTGTTATGAGGAATTGTTCGGTTTGATCCCCGCCGCATCTTTTCGCCATCGTTTCACGCGAAAACATTTTCATCCCCATCACATAGATGGTTGGCAGTCAACCACTGTGCGATTCACGCGTAACTTTCTGCCCCACACAGCAAAACTTTGGCATGATCTTCCTTCAAGAAACCAGCGTACTCCTTGAAAGGCCAGTAACGCACCTGTGACTCCTCGGGTGTTGCATGTGTCCATGGGCGGTGCCGATCACTTACCAGGGGTGGCTGGAAAGTTATCTACCTAACATAGAAAGAAAAGACATAGGAAGCTCATTTTTTTTTTATTTTTCAGTATAGTCCCCTGGTACCGTAATGCACTTATTACATTTGTCAATAAGCGACATTAAACCGTCAAAAAAATATTTCTTGGATTGGTCGTCAAAATGGTCATCCACAACGGCCTTCATTTCTTCATCGGTCGAAAATCGTCTCCCTCTTAGGCTTTTCTTCAAATTTCTAAATAGAAAATAGTCACAGGGACCAAATCTGGCCTATAGGGTGGATGGTTTAGTTCCGTGAAGCCATTCTTGCTTAAGACTGACCTTACATGTAAAGCTGTGTGGACCGGAGCATTGTCGTGCAAAATTAAAATTTCCTCTGCCGAGTTTGCCTCTTCGTTTTACTTTTATGGCTTCTCGCAGTTGGTCAAGTAAGCTGGCGTAGTAAGTTGCGTTCATCGTAGTATTTTTTGGTAGGTAATCTATCAAAAGAATCCCCTCGACACTCCAAAAAATTGTTGCCATAAGCTTGCCTGCTGATGGCCGAACCTTAAATTTGCGCGGTGGCCTCTGCCCTTTAAATTTCCCACAGAACAGAAAATTAAGTATTTTCTATTCCGTGAAATTTCCACTGTAAAGATTCCTGTTTGCTTTCGGTGTCCCATTGGCGAATCCAGGTTTCGTCGCATGTTACTATTCTAGAGATAATTTCTTCTTCTCTGTCTTTTACTAGGTCCAAAAATGCCTCACAACATTCGACGCGTCGTTGTTTATCAAAGGGCGTCAGCATTCTCGGTACCCATCGTGCGCTTACCTTTATCATCCCTTAATGTTCGTGAATAATAACGTGAACACGTTCCTTAATAATCCTGACATCCCTAGCGATTTCCCACTGCTTGACTCTCCGATCTGCGAGTATTATTTTTTTCACTCGAGCCACCGTGTCTACTGTGACTGCAGAAACCGGCCGTCCGCTATGGGGATCGTCTTCCAGACTCACACGGCCGAGTCTAAATTGTTTAGACCAAAAATTAATAATAAAATCGGAAGGACACGAATCCCCAAACACATTGGACATCCGTTGTTTTATTTGCGAAGGAGTATTTCCTTCTTTAGTTAGGACTTCAATCACGGCACGCTGCTCAATTTTAAGCATTTTATTATTTTCATCCGACATGTTTACTATGTTAGTGGACTATTCGTAATGAAAACAATTAAAACAAACGAATGCTATTATTTTCAAACATGGAATACATAAGTATTAAAGCTTCATAGTGGCCAGTATCATTTTTGTAACTTTATTGAACAAAGTAGATTATATATCAGCCACCCCTCGTACCACCAGGTGATCCGTCTGCTCGTTTGGCACCTATTCCATAAAAAAAAACGAATGTGTCGGCTCCACCGGAGTGAAACAACCACAGCGTTGTGTTTCACCGTGTGAGTGAGGTTACCGGAAGCCCAATCCTTCCCCTCACCCAGTCTCCAAAAGGTCGGCAACGCACTCGTAACTCCTCTGTTGTTGCGGGCGTCGCTATTTGCTTACCATCAGGCAAACAGTCTGCACGTTTGCCGACCTACATTTATTAATTACTGTAGAATTCTTTAAGTACCATAATAACTGCGGATTCGTGGGATAGTAATGATTAGGGTTTACACAAAATAATAAAAATCACTTTCTGCATTCATTTTATTCGACACTTTTACTTACAATTAAAATTATCACAAATAAACAGTGAAAATTACTGATGATTCACAGAATCTAAAAGACGGCAACGGCTAGACCTTTTCATTTCTAATTCAACTTGACACAACACAAAGTGACAAATTGTTATCAACTAAAGATTCTTACATTGCATAATAACATTACAGAATTTAAGAAAAGCTTACATACTACTAAATATATCGTGGATATTGTTCAGTTCTATTTCAGAAATAAGTATTTCACAATAATTTCAGCGTGTTCTCCTCACTAGGGTGATGTAAGAGTTACTGTTTGATGCCGCCCACCTAGCAACACAAGTCATTCAACTCTTTGCAGAGCTCATTAGCGGGTAATGTAGTAGGTACCTATATATCTGCGATGCGAATGCGAAGTTCCAAAATAATCACATAAATGGAATTAAAAACACAGACCAAACCAGTAATCTTCAATGCAAAATGTTTGATTTGATAGTCTTGTCATTAATTGAACAAGTTTGTCAACCAGTTTCAGCGCTTCGTACTAGGTATATTTAGACCAGAGGCTCTACCATGACGTGTTAAAGCGTAAATCTTCCGGGCGAGAAAGAGGGATGGAGCTAAAAACCTTTTATAGCTTAACGTCATGGTAGGCCTACTGGTCAGAAGACTTTGACAATAACAGCCTGCCCACAAGTAATTCATTTTTGGTATTTCAAACATTCATTTATTCAACATTTAATAGAATTTTTAATTACATATTTATACATATTTTTTGTAAATTACATTGCTAATCAATACCGCCTTTTGTTTGGACTTAAGGCAATGATCAAAAATGATTGTTAACAATACAAACATTCAATTTGTAGGTTAAAGGCAAATTAAACAGAAAAAAATCCGCGAATTTGCCAGCTGTCGCTAAAACTAAAAGTCTACTTAATTACTAAGGTTTTGTAACAGTGTTACAGAAATAGTCGTAAACATATAAACGACAAAGGTTTAAACTTAAAGCTAAAATAAACATGACTGTCAGACAGTTCCATTCATCACTGTAAAACTTAATTTAAAAACTTAATCAATAGTATCACTGTTACCAGTATAAAAACAGGAACTGAATAAGTAGCTGAGTGCAGATCTAGTTTAACTTTGGATGAAAGTGGCTGAGTTTATTCCTCATTATTTATTATATCTGTGAAAAGGCCAGTGCTTAGAGGAGTGTCTAAGCATCTACAATTATAATGTCAACATCTTGAATTAGACCATTGTTTCAAAATTAGACTGTTGGCAACTCTATATCAGATTCATTACTTTGTACCATATCTTATCATAATTATCATTATGTAAATATTAGTCTAGTCATGTTAAATATAGATACTTATTAGATGTTTTAATGCATACAAATTGTAATTATAATTACGATAATACTAGTTTACGCCAAGACAATGGCATTAGAGTCACCAGGAGTTAATAACAAACCATTGCCAAATTTAAAAATAATACAACTGGCAAATAAAAACAGTATAAACATTTTGGATTTAACTAATTGGTGTTTGAAGGAATGCAAAATAAATAGTGACATAATGCGGTTTTTAATTTGAATCAGCAACACAAATTATGCATAATGCATATAATTGGTCATGAACATGATCATTTTATGATGTATATTATACATACTACTCACATTCAATGAGGTATTTACAATGATATTCAATTAAAATGTTTTTTTTTTTTTGTCAACCAAAGCTACTCATGAAAGGCCTTATTTTATCATAGTCTCTTTTGTATTACTTTTTTCTTGTTTTTCTTTGTTTTTTTTTTTTATCCTAAACTTTCAAATGCTTTATTCCTTTACTGGTTACCTTAAGAATTTATAAACCTATCTCCACATACAACAAATGACACAGAACATTTGATTTTCTTAAAGCAAATATGATTTTTAATCTTACTTATAATACTCTAGCAATTTCTATACAATGCTTAGGATGTAGTTTTAACATCCCGTCAAGATTACTGCAAGCTTCAAAGAGCATCTAGGTACTGATGAAGTTTATGTTTAATAAACATTATTAAGATCTTAATTGGACTGAACAAGATTTTTTAATATAATAATTTCTAAGAAAAATCTGTAACATTGCTCAAAAGGCATAAATTTGAATGGCAACATACACTTCAGAGATGTTAAATTTACATTCTATAAACAGTTATTTAATGAATTCTTTACAAACAGGCCAACGCTTAGAAGAATACCTATGAGTGGGACTTAGTATTCAGTTTCTCTAAGCTGTGCCTGTTAGCCTGTACTACTTTTTTGCCTTAGTTGAATTACCCTGCTTGTGTGGAGGCGTCCATCTTAATGCAGAAGGGTCTACAGACAAACGAGGCTTCTTGAAATGTGAACTAGCCAACTGTTCCGCAACTATTTTTGGTGTAACACATATAACATGCTGGCCTTTCCAATACTTTACCATATTCATTGACTGTAATGTAGAAATTATATCTGTTTGAGATATTCCAGTCATTGAACTCAAATCTTTGATGCTCAATGTGCCTCTACTCACACTTAACACTTCTAATAAGACATAAGACCAATAAGACCTATAACTCAATTTGCCCAAATCTGATAATGGTTTTTCTGGACTACCCACTACATGTTCAAGTCTGGACAACTCGTAACTAAATGCTATAAGTAGCTTACCATAACCTTGTCTCTGATAAGGAGGTAGAGTCAGTATACATGCCACATTATTCCCTTCTGGGGAGTCCTTCTCTTTAGAGAAATATCCAACAAGATGGGCTCCTTGCTTGTCAACTTCACACAGTATATAAAATAAGAATTGCTCTATATCAAAATATAAAGTTTTGTGATCTAAGAACAATTTAGCAAGTAAACAAAGATTTTGACAGTAGATTTTATGCTCTTTGCCATCTGCTTCAAATATAGCTATTGTTCCCTTCCTGTATATCTCACTACCCTGTGGTTGTCGCGCTGTACACTCGCTCAGGTGATACCTGTAAGTTTTCTCCATTCTCATGTATTTCAAACAGTATTCGCATATCCAAAGCTTAGACTGCTTGCCGTACTCGTCAGGATAAGGACTGAAGTACCATGTGTCTATCTCGTATTTGCCGAATTGGATTCTATCGATGTATTTTACTTTAGTGATAGCTTCGTGCTCCTTCTCAAGCGCTGCCGTCGTCGGGTCCATCTCGGCGTAAGACTTCTGAACATGATTGATTTCATCATGTTTACGTTTTTGGTTCCTTGTTATTTTCCGGCCGGATTTATCAGTGAGAAGGTGGTCACAGTTTATGTTATTATTCGACTGTTCGCACATGTCGAATCTATCTGACATAACCCTGTGTCGGGATACCCATTCATCGAGCCTTCTATCGTAGCCGACATAGTGCACATAATATTCGTAGCAGCCCTCCGTGGCATTGTATCGCGTCTGTATAATCTCAGCCGGGTGCCATGACTCATCCGAACGCCGCACCAAATAATGCTCTCCGATATCGAGAGGCTGCTCTTGTGCCGATTCCGAATCTTCATGGTCCGTGCTCCGGCACTCCGGATTAGGTAATTCATTATTCACTATAGGTTTTTCTAACTCTTTATCACCTTTTGCCATATTATAACGGAAATCAACAATCGTATCACGCAATACCGCGCAACGCGATCTATCGAAGTCGCCATAATAGCATAGATTATAGAAAATCAAGCGCGCAAAAACGTGCTACCATAGAGCAGTTTCTAGAACCGTTACATACATCAGTTTACGACAATTAATTTATATAAATCAACAAAATTATAAACTTAAAGATAATCAAAACCATATTTCTGTTTATAAACACCGAATATATAATTTATAATAATATTTTCACACGATTTACTTTGAAACCCATATTTTTTCTATGGTAAACTATGATTGTCTATGGCTCTGTAATGTTGCTGACATTAAAAAATAATTTGCACTTTGGGAGTTGTTAAAGAAAAAAAGTATTAAGGTAGATTTTTATTTATTTAAAAAACTTACAAAAGCAATCAACCGAACCGAAGCTTTTACAGTGGAGGTAATGCCAGAAGAATATAATTTGGTTTTCGCCAACGATCGATTAGAATTGTAATGATTAAAAATTGAAATACTTAACCATATTTAAAATAATTGGCTCTATTTAATTACAATATCACATTGTTATATAAAACAAATTACTCCCTATATATTGACTCAAGCGTCTTATTTAAATGCAATTTTAAAACCCTTCAAAATACAACAGCTTTCCAAAGTGAATTTTTACAAAAATATGGTAAAATTGGTGGTATAGTGGGCAACATTATGTTTAATGCCGAACGTACGTAATCGGCGAGCTAAACGTCTGTAAAGTGAACGAAACGGAGGTTTCGGGAACAAATTACTCTTATCGCTAGCGAAGAGATATGAAATTTATATTTTTATCGAAAAACTGTGCAGTTCACTTGTACAAGTGTTGATTGTGATGCGGATGTGTATTGATTAGAACTAGACGTGGAACCAAGTGCAGTTTTACCAAGTCAGAGTTATCTGAAGCCACCCTTGATAATTTGTGCTTTATTAGTGACAACGGTCGAGTAGAACGCAGAAATGCAGGCGATTAAATGTGTAGTGGTCGGTGACGGGTAAGTTTTCTATATTTATCAGAAATGCATGCTTTCCTAGCGTAATTGGTAAACTGTCTGACGTCATTTTTAAATTGAATCTTCTTCGTACAAAGTTGATTGGTGCCGTATCCAGCGCGTTCGATACTAGAGCTGGTTATACAACGATAATACACGTTTTATTTACTATTGCTACTGTGCCATTGTGTTCGCAGGGTATGTAGTTTCAGTAAGAATTACGAGTAACAAGGTGATAAAAAATAACACGCCAAGTAACCTACAGATTATTGTTCTCGGCCGTAGCAATGTTTGAAACATATGCCGTCATTGCTAGGGTCACGAATAAACAACCAGATGTAGAAATGAATTAAAGGGACTTTTATATAGCATCATAGGTGCACCAAATGTTGCTGAGCTGCTAACAAATTTATGTTATATTCGAAATTCAAAGTTGAAACTGATGATTTTTTATTAGGACAGAAATCAACAGTCATGGTTATGCCTACTTCATTTATCATAAGAAAAGGTTTCTGACCTTTAAGTGGTACAGTTACATAAAATAAGCAATAAAACACTTGCTGAAGTTAAATTAAGTCAAGCCAATTACAAAAGACCTAAAGATACATGGAATGCAATATTTTGATCCTTATTATAATGCAAAATCTATACAAAACATTTTACATGTAAAAGGGTTACATATTTTGCTCAAAATTTATTAACCTATCATGGATTAATGTTTCCTTTTTCCAATTTAGGATTACATTTCAACTGTACTCTTACCATAAAACCTAATTTGAATATGTAACTTTTTAAATAAGTTGCAAAGGAAGTCATTGGACAATCACATACATGACAGGAATACTAAATTGAGGGTAAATTGGCATGTTTATTTTTATGGATAAAAGGTCATCTTTTATTCAACAGAAAGATAAAAATTTTACTTTTTTATATCTTATCAAGAACCCTAGAACTTACTGAGAAAAGATAAAAAATGATAAGATGTGATATAGTCTGAATGTGTGTAATTTATTTGTCTTATGAAGAATATTAATACACAAGAAAAAATATATACTCTAGTGTTTTGTGTAATAGGTTTTATTGCAAAATTGCATCATATTAAAATATTCTGTAATTCTGAAAATTGACCTAGATGAGGTCAGTAATACAGACATGTGTTTTTATGTACAATTGACATGCAATTTTCTGTTTACCAAATGTAGAACATTGTTCCGAATATAGCAACATAATATATCTAGATCAGGATCTTAAAGTCACAAGATGTTCATAATTACTTTGATTGGCAACAACCTGAATGGCGGGTCCATATGACTTGATGATCTCTATGACTTAATCCCAAGATCCCAAGAATCCCAATATGATATTCAGATTATTGACACGCCATACTGTAAAATAGATCTCCATAATTACTTTGATTGGCAACAACCTGAATGGCGGGTCCATATGACTTGATGATCTCTATGACTTAATCCCAAGATCCCAAGAATCCCAATATGATATTCAGATTATTGACACGCCATACTGTAAAATAGATATTAACTTTGCTATTATAATAAACTACTGGACTAGGACTCATGCAGCTTTCGAACATTTGTAAAATAACATTTAAGTCAATAATCTTTATCAGCTAGTTTTACAGATGCGTAGATCTCACTGAAAGTTTTGGAAACATTTGTTTCAATATTCTTTTTCTTGACTACTTTTTATACAGTTAAATTACTGTGATATAAGTGTAATCTCCGTCAAAAGTGTAAGTACCCACTTATGTGGCAGGAAGATCATAAAAATCACTTTCACATTTGTCTGGCACATTGTGGCTATCGAGACACTGTGAAACCGTTTGAACCTGTGGCCCTGAAACTGCCCATGATAGAAATTTAATCAGAACAGCCTTTTTTCTCTACATCAAGTATTTATTTATTTATCTATACACTTTATTCAAATACATGTAAAGGTGGACTTAATGCCTTAGGCATTGTCTAACAGTAGACTGTTTAGTTCATTTTATTTACCTAAAATAAACTAAACCGTCTTCACTAACCATAAATTCTCATCAGTTCTGTTATGCATATCTTCAATAACATAGAGTACAATCTCATATTGCATTGTAACATACACAGATGCTGTGTAACTCAATATTATGCAGTTAATTGATACTGTGATATATTGCTGTGCTATGTGAACCTGCCCTTACTGAGTCATGTTAATGTAAATAGGGCCTTATGAGATCATGAACATGTGCTGTCTCATAAATAAAAGTTTATAAGTTCCTTATAACAGTTTTCTGATTCATTAGTTGAATCAATCATATTAAAGTACCTTTTTTAGTTATTTTTGTTTAATTAGCTAGCTTGCTTGCTGATTGCTATTCCTTATAGAATCTAATACACTTAATTGTCTCCAGATACAAAAAAACAGAACCATTAAATAATTCTCTCGTGACATTCAGGACAGGCGAATAAACACACTTTCTCATATATTTTTTATCAGGGATTACAGACATTAATGTAGGTACTTACATAGTGTTTTTGGTCAAGTTCTCTTGTAAGCTTACCTGAAACAATTCAGTATGGTTAAAACCTATTCAATGACTCAGGAATGTGTACAGGACGGACAAACAAACAAATATTACTTTTGTTCATTGTAACTTACTCTTTTCAATCTTACTTTAATATTGAAAGTTAAATACATACATGACATTAGTATTTATAAATAATGAGCATGTTTGATATTAATATTATAAATAAAACATTTATGGTTTTTGTTGTGCACTTTTATGAGTCGCTGCCTATTTTGCTATTCAGACTCCATTGCATATTCCAAGTAGGGCAGGCTCAATTACTGGGAATGTGTCACATCCTATCAACTATGTATCCTTTAGACATGAAAGCATGAGGCACCGCGACCTCGGCCCAGAGCAGGAGAAGGAACAGGGTCGTTTTTAGTCAGTAAGAGTCTGACACTCCCTCCCGCCCGGCTATGGGCGGGAGAAGTCATTTGATGATTTTTCTTTGCTACTACCAATTAAAGAATTCGAATGTTCACTTAAGTGTCCATTATAATTAACTCCTAAATAAAATCTATACCTACTATATTTACTATATTACTATTATTAATAATAATATACTTATTAATATTTAATATACATAATATTATACAGCTAAACAGTTTGTTTGAACGCGCTAATCTCAGGAACTACTGGTTCGAATTAAAAATGGTTTTTGTGTTTAATAGACCGTTTATTGAGGAAGACTTTAGGCTATAAAACATCACGCTACGATCTGTAGGAGCCGAGAAGCGGGTGAAACCGCGCGACAGTAGCTAGTAAATATATAAATTCAGGTATGTCACCACTTTTGATTACCTACTTAATTACTCTTCCTCATTAGTATACAAAAATGAGCTTAAGCTACTAAAAAACTTCATAGCTATTAGGTATTACACTAAGGTATCAAAACGTTCGGTTTTAGCGGTTACGAATCACTGGTTTCCTCGGCTAATCTCCGACCTTTGCTTTCGCGCACAAATCCTTGAATTTATAGTAAATAGTTGTACACATGGCGCATCGTAACTAGTAAGTCAGGGTCATCAACGTCTTCCCAAATCAATTACGTAGGTAGAATTAAGAACTCGGTTTTTAGGCGAAATTCAATGAAAACTAAGACCTAGGCTAATGTAGTCCACTAACACACTAATAATAAAAATCTATTTCTGTCCGTCACACATACTGATGTTTTTACAATTCCGCTCCGACTCTGAAGGTCGTTACACAGAATTGGACGCACCTATTACTTTTATTTAATACTCTTTTACGATATGTATGTGGCTTCGTATTTCATTCAAGAAGGTTTTAAGTCTCGTATGGTTTATTTTTTTTATAATAGATACTAGCGTTTCTTCTCCGAAATTACGTGAACTTATTGTAAATCTCCCTATGAGCCTAAGTTAGCTGACTTAGGCTCACAGTTTCAAGGAAACTACGAATTTTGTTGATGGCTTTAAAACTAAACCAAAAAAAGAAAGAAGTATTTTATGGCAAAACTTTGAAACCAGTTCCAGCGAGCAGCTCGAACATTTAAGATTTATTTTGCGAAGCTTCTCAACCATCGACATCGAGTTTTCGAACGACTTTGAAAATAAATTACTCAGCAGTCTACAAGAAAGGGACTACAAACTGCTTTCTAAAAGTTATGTTAACAAAACGTATAACATTGTAATCAATCACTTTCATCTTTGCCTTTTCTCATTTGAAACTTGGAAGTCAGTCCTATAGAATCCTACCATAGTATAGTTATTGTGTAATATAACCCTATAGATCGTTGTGACAGGAAGGAGGGGCAACTATGAGCGATATCATCCGTCAATATGTGAATATTGCCAGCCATAGAACACGGCCTTGATCCTCAAAGGGCAGAGGTGTATTGTAGTCCATAGACAGCCAATGACGGAATGAACTATGCGATCATACTGACACAAAGAGAGTCCAATTGCTATGAGATAGCTTCGGGTCTCTTTGTGTCACTGTGTATCTGCAAGTTGCGAATTGTTAGAACTAAACTACCTTACTAATAAACTAGGTAGGTTACTTTTAGAGGTTTTTACACAATAACTGTTGATCTGTGGTTTCACGTTACACATTGCTAAAACAATGAATATTGCAGCCCGTTTTTAATATCGTAATCATATAACAAAACACGATTTTAAACAAACTTTCTATTTTTCGAAAGATTTCCTGTCATTGTGTATTGAAGTTAAAACAATGTGCCTTGGTTGTGTAGGTAGTGCAAACAGGCCACGGCCCTTAAATACTGACCTTTCTAAAGAATTACATTTGTTCTTCAGTTTTTTTACATGTCTGCAGTAAGAATGTTTTATTATGAAACTGGATACAATTATAAGTATTTAATGGAATATTTTTGTCCACCTGCGCGCAAATTTTAGTGCTGAATCATTTCCTTACTCATCCATCGACTAACGAATAAATGTCGGCTTGTCACATCGGT